GGTACTAACTGCTCCCAGTGAAGTTGGTGTCTACGCTGCCTTATTTGACCTGGGGAAAGGGGGGTACACACAGCCCATGAGAAACTGTCTCAGGAGAAGCTGGTGTGAATTGATTATTTAATAACAAACAAGCACAGTGCCTGCTTTTTTATTATTTTTATGCCTACGGTAGTCACACGCATTCAGTGTGGTGAGATTGCTGCCTAAGGCTGCCCCCAAAGAGCTGCAAGAACAGGAGCCCATTGAGCTCGTGCTGGTTCTGTTGCGTGTCTTAATGAAGCTTTAAAATGCTTGAAATTGTCTTTGAAATTAAATATTCCATAGCTGCAAGCTAGCTGCATACTTTGTAATAATTGCTTAGCCAAATAAAGGAAAATTGTGAGGAACAAAGAAAAATTAGATTGATGGCTAGAAGAAAATGATTAAATAAAAAATTCATGAAGAAGAGAAATTAAAAAAAAATAGCATAGCATCATAGGCTTTTGCACAAAGGCTTCCCTTCCAATGGGAGTTTTTCTTTTCCAAGTATTACTGTGCATTTTATTCTTCCTGTTTGCTACAAATATTAGAAAAACTTTTTCTATGGGAACAATGGGGAAGATGGTCACAAATTTATGCAGAAACTGAGAAACAGAGTAAAATTTAAAAGCAGAGGTATGCGTTTCACTGCCATTCTGAGTGGGGGTATGGTGCACTGTAAATAATTAATGATTTGACTGGAATTGCCTTTTTTTTTTTTTTTAAAAAACTCTTAAATCAACTGTGACTAAACAGAAAAAAAACCAAAAAGACTTCTGTTCATAATTATCAGCCCAACTTGCACACTTAGAGCCCTTCCTCATTCAAATTTACTGCTCTTAGTGGCCGTTAGTAACAGAATGAATAATTTTTTCATGGTTAGTCTTTCTCTCTGTTTGCAGGTTAAGACCAGCAAATCATTATTTGTGGACATGTATTAATGTCCAAAAGTATCTGAGAAGTGTGCAATTGTTTGTTTTGAACAAATTATTTTTGAAGAATCAGTACACCCTCAGGTTTTGTGTCCGTGCTATGGCAAGAAAAACCATTCTGGAGTGATTTTATATTACAGTGCATTTAGGAAGAAAATATAGAAGATATAGTTACAGTGAACAGTAGGACATAAGGGAAATACCTACAAGCTAGTGCAGGCATTTTAAAATATGAATATTATTGTAAAGTCTTTAGGTGCCGTCTGGTAATAGATATTTAATCTAGCAAAAGCACTTTCATTGCTTACTTGTTAAAGTAATTTAATGGATGAGTGATGCTATTAATGGACCACATGTAGAATCCAGACTTTTTTTGTTCAAAACATTCCTTTAGGGTTTACATTTCTAAACAAGTTCGGAGGCAATTTGAAGAGATCTGACCTATACACAAGCTATAGGAATCATCATTTGTGAACTTTTCTTCTTCTTCTCAGCATTTCCTCTGCATTTGGAAGAAAAAGGAATATGTATACCTATGTGCGACTTTATGTCAGCTGAGTGATTTATACCTTGTTTTGAGAAGGTTGTTAGAAGCCAGAGACTGAATAGATAGATGTATGATTGAGCATGCAGAGAGAGGGAGATAAACAGAGAGCTTGAAAACAGTTGTAAGTTATCTGAACCAACATACAATTTTAATCTTCCCTTCTTTTTTTTTTTTTGCGAGAATTGCATTGGTAATATCTGTAGCACAGTTCTTGCAAAAAGTTTAAGCAAAAAAGCAAAAACCTCAAACCATAGCAGAACCAGCCTTTCTTCCCACCCCAACACTTCAGGATGCTGGAAGAATTGTAGATACACATCTGTAAAACAGATCATCAGGTATTAAAAATAAACTTTTAAGTTGGTATTTTAGCACCAGTTAGTAAGATAAAATCATGCTATCTTGAACAACTGCAGAAGTTCATTGATAAGCATTCCTGTTTTGCTTCAGCTAGTACTTAATTTCTTTTCTGAACACATGGCTATGTATTGCTGAAACTCAGATATCCCTATACAGAGTAGAAACTTGGGGAAATAATCTGTTGTAAGTGTATCTGTGATTTCTTGAGGATCGCTGCACAGTCACATAGTTTAGTCAAGAACTAAAATGTGGTTGTTGACTCCAAGAACAGCAGTTTCCAAATAAATGTTTGTAAAACCTCCAACTTTAATAGCTGCATCGTATCATCCAAAAGATGTGCAACAGAATGAATAGATGACCTTTCAGATAGAGAACAAGCTGTTCACAATGTCTTTTCATTTACTGAGACAAAATACTCTTTTTATACAGAGATAATACTTTCCACCGTTTTTAACAGTGTTGGTGAAATATAAAGAATTTAATTGTTTTGTTTCTGAATGCAAGGGATTTTAGCTATGCGTCTTCAGATTGGAACTCTTTCTAGATCAGCTGTGTTAAATGCGTTGTTCTAACTAGATTTTTTTTTTTTTTTTAAATACAATTGGAGGTATTTTGAATCCCATGCTCACAGGGTGGGATGTCATTAACTATCCATCCATATGATATCCACATGATATCTGGCTTTGAATGATATATGAATGAATTCTTACTGCCATCCTGCGCTGCAGCTATGGGTCAATAATTTACTGACAAGGAGGTCCAAGGCAGCTGTAACTGAAATTGATCTAAATTATTGTGAAATTGCAGCTTTGGCGTGAAGAGCTGCTGGCGTGCTCTCAGTTGCACACACGTACACAAGCACTAGCTTGGACTGGAACAGATCATGAACAAGTAGTGAGAAAATCAGAAGGAAATCAGGGCTCAGCCTTATCTTTTTCATGTGAGTTATGGTTTGGCCCTTAGTCTTTACAGTTGTAAATCCACCACTTAAATCACAACTGGATAATTGGTACTAACTAGTAACAACTAGTTATACTGGTGAAGTGTTTTTTGCTCTGCAGTATAACCGGTATTACTTCTGTTAGTCTTCAGCCTCTGTCCATGTTCCTGTTCTCATCTGATAAAGCAGGTGGTGCAAACCTGTTTTCTTGTTAAAGGGAACACAGTATATCTGCTGGAATTCAAAGAAATACGGTGAACAGGAACTCCTCAAAACTTGAGGAAAATCTTACCATTTTGGGAAGAAAAAACAAAAAAAAACACCCAAATACCAACATTTTTAGTTTGGGGTTTAAAAGACCAATATAATTCTCTTGTCTGTTTGCAGAAAACTAAAGATTTTTGTTGTTTTTGAACAAAATACAAATTCATTCCTAGATCACACATATAGGAGTAATTTACTAAAATTGGAAGCCAATTTGTTTAAGAATTGTAGAGTAATTTCGGTTGGAAGGGGTCTGTGAAGGCATCTGGTCCAACCCCTGCTTGAAGCTGGTCCAGTAGGACCAGGATGCTCAGAACTTTGCCCAGGCAAGCCCTGAATATACCTGATTTTGGAGATTCTGCAGTCGGTCTAGGCAACCTGTCCCACCAGTTGACTCTCCTTTGTTGCAATCTCTGATGGTTGCTCCTTGTCATTTTGCTGCATGCCTCCAGGAAGAGTCTGGCTCCATCTTACCTCTACTGTGGCATTGGGTTTTTGAAGACCACCACAAGATTACCCCGAGCCCTCTCATCCTAGAGCAAACCCAGTCCTTTCAGCCTCCCTGCTGCGTGCAGTTAAGGTTTGGAAAAATCCTAAAACTAGCGTGTCATGGGAATGAGGAATGAGAAAGTTACACTGAGATCCAAACTGGCAGTGCCGTTCATCCTGACAACCTGAGGTGCTACAACTGCAGTGGGTGGAGATGGTCTGTCAGCAAGTACCTTCAGCCCGTTTTTGTCACGCTGATAGAAACCAGGTGGAGAAGAAAAAAACCTTCTGTAACGTAATTAAGTAAACCTTAGAGAAAACTTCTCAGCACTTAAGACTAACATGCCCACAAGACTAACCGGCTAGATTTGAATATATTTATTTCATGGTTCTCAACTACTGTGCGTAGATGTTAATCACAGTACGTGGCAATCACAGTTTTCTCTCTCCTATTACTAAAAGCTTTTCTTCTGAATTTCCAGAACAACTTACCTGGTGGAAAGGTTGCTTTGCATGCAGCAGAGCCAACCAGGATGGTGGTGTTCATGATAAGGGCTCTTTCTTACTGATTCCTGAACTGTGGCTTATTTTGTGCATACTCGTGCTTGTTGGTTCTTTGAGAACTGAGGATGTGCTTGTTAAATAAAGGATCTGATCTCTGCAGTGGGAACATATCGTTAACTGTTTGAAACTTAAAGTTTGATGTATTCTGTGTGCTTTGGACCTTTTTTGGGGGGGAGGGGGTCCTATTCCTGCCATGCACACTAACAGGAGTAGATAACTGTCTTCCTCCTCTCAATAATGTGTTGTTGGGCTTTTTTGTCTTCCTCTGCAGAAACTCTCCTGGATGACTTCCTTCTCACGTACACAGTCTTCATGACGACTGATGACTTGTGCCAGGCACTTCTGAGGCAATATCCTTTTATTAAGTGTTGTATTAATAGGGGTCGCACAGTTGCACCTAGGTTTATATATTGTCAAGCCTTATATCAGACATAGTAAATTGCATGCCTGGGGTAATTAGTTTTGCTTTTTGCATATTGATGTTATTGAAATACAACCCTGCATGATTATTTTGAGGTTGCATGTAAGAATGATGAGAAAAGAGAACAATTGTCTAATATTTACTATGGCATGCTTAGAAGGTGGACTGCACCTGGGGTTTTGGCATCACACCCTAAGAAATACATGAACAAATAGAAGAAACTTCAGAAGAAAGCCATGGGAATGATCAATATTCTAGAAAAAACGACCTACAAAGAAGGATTGAAAGAATTAGGATTGTTTTACTGAAAAAAGGGAAACTATAAATGGGACAATCTTTCAGGTACCTAAAGAGGAAGGGAAGAATTTGTTCCCATATCGATGCCAGACAGGACAAGAGGCAGTGAGATTAAATTGCTGTAAGACAGTTTCATGTTAGATACTAGGAAACATTTTTTTTACATTAAGGAAAAAAAAAAATTACACAGACGCATTCACCTATTAAAACATTTAGAATTTGCATAGCTGAGGAATCAATAAACAGAAAATTTCTGCTCTGAAGTTGAATGTACAAAGCTAAAGCTGCCTCTGAATAAAGCTGTATCCAAAACATACACATTTGTGTATGTGCATACTTCACAAGAATGCTTGAAAGATGTATTGAAAGAGACATCTAACTCATAGCAGCAATGCAATCTTACATCTGCTGTTTTTGTTTAAAGATGTGTAAACCTTTATAACTGTTACAAAATAACACTTAAAATGGGATTAATACCTATCCAGACCTGTATGTTAATTCTTAGAATACCTATATCTATGTAATACATTTTGGAATATGTGAAGAGAAAAAATGAAGAGTAAGTATTTTACGATCTCTGCTCCTTTTATCATGTGATACAGTATGTAAGTCTAACTCATCTGAGATAAAAATTTTTTTGTTTTATTTCCAATTACTTTCATAAGCTATGGAGTATTGTTTGAATGAACTTGTAGCTATAAAATGAACTTGCTTTTCTTTTTTTTTTTTTTTTTTCCCTCTTTTTTTCCTCTTTACCTTTTGTGGTGAAAACATAATCTTTTCACCTAATAAAAGAAAGAATAGCGAAGGGACAGGAACAATGTACAAAGTGGGTATCTTCTGTCATTCGGTGTTTCTGCTTTGTGAATAGAGAACAAAGGTGGAAATAGATTCTTTCACCTTTTTTTGAATTTTAGTAGTGTTATTTCTGCAGATAGCGTAATTTGTGCAGGGAAAAAGAAACTGACTTCCTCTGCCTGGGTTTTTTGTTGTTGTCAATGATGCATTGTCCTCCTTCCCACAGACGTTCACGTTAGCATCGGTGTGTAGGACAAAGGTTCATTCCCAGTTCTGCAGAAAAGATATGACTCAACATTGTATAATTCCTTTTGAATTGATTTTACTTTTATAGACTCGCCTCTCTAATCTATAAAGGAGGAAAATCCTGTTGGCACAGAGAATGAACTGACATTTCTATTACTAAGAATTTCATTCCAAAAAGTTGATGAAACTCCTAAAGCTCCATACAGGATAAAACATTTAAAACTGAGCAATGTAGTGAAAAAAACTTTCATTAGCAAAGGAGATAATTGCAAAGTCTTTTCTATCACTTAATTTTTAAGTTTCAGTGAGACCTTATTATTTGTTCCTTAACCTACTGTACCTATTGTGCTAAGAACCACCAAGGGAAAGAAGACGACACTGATGTGTCCTGTAGGAAACGAAAAGTCTTGCATTTGGTGTCTCAGTGGACTTCTCTCTATAAAGACTGGTTACACGAAGATGAGCATTTAAAACAATTTTTAAAGGTATTGAAACACTTTCTGATGCATTTCAGCGCTGTTTAATTAACGTACTGTGTCTAAAAAGCCCCAACAGCAAAATCTATAAAGCATAATTTTTCATACTTAAATTTTCTCCATGAAACCTATAATATAAAATGATTTACATGTGTCTTCCTTGAATGCCTTAGAGATGGTCAGTTTGAACAGAAAATCTGTAATGTCAATACGTTCAATGTCAAAAACATTACTTTCAGATATGAAATAGAACTCCATGCTCTCTAGAAAATGGGAAAATTTAGTAAGGTAAGAAACCTACAAAGACGTGGAGGTTCCTTGGACAGACTGGTCTTGTCTGCCAGAACAGGGTCTACAGTTGGTATCCAGAGGATCACAGATGAAGAGAGAGTTTTGTGGTCCTTGTAAGAGATGCTCCTTTGGCTGAGGAGTGAAATGCTATTCCACGGTGTTTGTCAGGTGCACGTGGAGAGCAGCACAGCTTTATGTATTTTTAATAAATAGAATTATGTCCTTACTTATTAGCAAGGATCTTCTGATCTTTCTGAATGAGTTCCAAAAGCTTTTATAATTCCCTTGTAGATTTGCAAATAGCCATGTCATCACTGACCCGAGATCCATCTGGTTGTTGATCCCCGCCCCCCCTCCCCCCGCTGTTGAAAGATGAAAGTATTTTAGGAGACTTTGAAGGATCTTCCACCTTTCCTGATGACAGACTCTTTGCAACTGGACATCTTAAGGGCCTTTTTGCTCTCTTCAGTCATTCACTCAAGACAAAGGGATGAAACATTGAACTAAATTTGGAGAAGGTCTCGAGCTTGCTTTTTTTCCTGTTTGTTTTGTTTTTTTAGTAGGACACACTGCATATGGAAGCAGAGACCTTAGGATTTTTGCTGTTTGGTAGTAGGTGTGTAGTGCTGCATTGGAAAGGGGGCATCGTTAGGTTACACTGCATTGCACCTATCTTGACGCAGGGCTTGTCTTTCCGGCCATGGAGGTGTGTGACTGTGTATTGCCGCACAATTTCTCCGCGTGAGGCTTCTGTGCAATATTAAACAGCAGTAATGTTAATGATGGTTGAAATTATACGTGCAAAACCAATATATAGGATTCTAATCCAGAATAATTTGTGCTGAGATTTATGAATGTAGGAGTGTTAATTGGGCTAAAGCAAACCTGATGACTCAGCTTATATATATGATCCTCCTTTTCTTGGA